AAAGCCTGTGCTCTGTGCATGTGACAGTGGCTATGGCCATCAGCTTTGGTTGCAAATGCTTCTCAGTGATACCTGCTGCACAGCAGAGATGTGCATGTCAAAAACATTTGTTTCCTTTTATTTTGGATTTATTTATTAAGTCAATCATTTTGTTTCATTATATTTGTTATGTTAGAATGACTCATTTTTGGAATTTGTCTTATATATTCAGATTTGTTTCGTATGTTCATTGTTCAGAACAGGGCCGAGCTGACCATATGGAAACTCAGGCATTGCCCGAGGGCCCAGGGTCAGTAGGGGGCCCCATGAGATGCCCCTGGTACCTTTTTCATAGGCTTTTTTGAGTTTGGGCAAGGACACAGGGCCCCATGATCCCCTATTGCCCGGGGGCCCCATGAGTTGTCAGTCCGCCCCTGGTTCAGAATCCAATCATATTTTCTGAAGTTATATCAGAACATTCGGATTCATTTCTTATGTTTAAAGTGTGACTTTGCATTGTAGACAAACAGACCGCTCCAGGTGGGTGCTGAAGATGTATAGCCCCCTCCACATACAAGTCAGTGTCGGCCCGATCCGTGATCACAGGAACAATGCCACAAAACAAAGGTTGGCCGCACTAGCAACAATGTAGCAGATAAAATCCTTTTAAATAAACGAAGCCAGCGCACAAATCTTCATGCAGACTAGGATAACTGTAACTGTCATTCATTGAGGTGCAGCCCTTAGAAGATCGGGAAATACTGGTGAACAAAAGAAAAACAGGGCGCACTATCTTCGTGCATTACCGTGGTGAAACACAAATTTATTTAAAAGCATAAAAATGCATACTCACAAACCAAAGGGGGGATAAAAACAGAGATAAAGAGTCCGTAACAGGGGCGGACTGACAACTCATGGGGCCCCCGGGCAATAGGGGATCATGGGGCCCCTGTGTCCTTGCCCAAACTCAAAAAAACCTATGAAAAAGGTACCAGGGGCATCTCATGGGGCCCCTACTGACCCCAGGCCCTCGGGCAGTGCCCGAGTTTCCAAATGTCAGTCCGCCCCTGATCCGTAATGATGGTCCAATGTGGTGGTAGACCCTTGGTGAGGTAGCCTAAGGGATGAATGTGGATGGGGATTTGGGAAAGTAGGATACTCCAGAAAAACTTGCTAGAACAAACTTGAGAACACTAAATGTGCTTCTTCAAATGCTGCACTCTTGAAACTCCAAATGCTGTCCTTATGTAACAGACTGTAGAAAGGTTCTGCAGTACAGGACTGAGGACGTTGAGCCTTCCTTAGTGATCAGTCCAAGCAACAGACCCTTCACAAGGAATGGAATTACTATGCTCTCCCAAACAAACTTCTTAGCAAACACATGGCTGACTTTTTAGCACACATAACCCAAATGAAAGAAAATATATTTAAAATATATATATTTTAAAAAATCTGAAGAATATATTTTAAAAATGTGTTTTTTATATATTACAAAATATATGAAAAATATTTTTTTAAATATATATATTTTTTCAATATATTCTTCAGATTTTCTTTTTACATTTAAAAAAAGTCATTTTAACATATGTTTTTACATATATTTGGAAATGCATTCCAAAAACGTAAATTAAATGTATTTTTAAAAATATTGTTCATATATTTTGTAATATATAAAAAACACATGTCAACATATGTATGTCAATATATTTGGGAAGAATATTTTTAAAATATATTTTTTTTCCATGTGGGAGGGGTGGCAGAATTGAGTCTCTAGGTTTTTTCCCTGCCTATACTCACAGAATGTCTCTGAATAAATGGTGGCCTCCTACCAGTATCCTGCAGGCAGTTCTCCCAGACTAGATCCTCGGAAGATGGCCTTCAGCAACATACAGTAGCTCAGGGCCTTCACCCTCTCAGCCTGGACTAAACTTGACAAGACCATGGCAAAATGCCCAGGGAGGGTAAAAAGAGCCCCCTGAGCGATGATTTCTCCCCCTGGAAAAAGGCAAATCTGCCCTATGCTCCAGGATATTTATATATCCTCCCAGAATTCTCTGGGCCACACCTCCCAGGACATTGGCTGGGGCTGCATAAATATTAATACCCGCTGTGCAAGTGGATGACAGGTCTGTGTCTGCTCCATTACTGCAGAGCAGACACAGCCCGCTGTTCTCTGTGGGCGGTTGGATGGAAACGGACCTCCATACGATCCAAAGGATGGAAGGGGAATGAATCCCCATCCATCTCTTTTTGGCGAACCGGATTAAATGTCGATGGGTGGAAACGGACATGTGTACGTTTGCATAGAGGAGAATAAAGGTTCCAATCTGGTCCACCTGAAAAACGGGCAGGCAGACCCGATCGGAATGTCCGTGTGAAAGGGGCCTGACAAATTAAATCTGAACTCCAGCTAACACTTTTTAGGCGGATAAAGCAACCATTTTGTTTTATTTCAACCCCCTAGCTGCCACTTCTGCTGGACATCTCGGACTATTAAAGGAAGTTAAAAAATAACAGATTTACTGGCCAGTGAAAAAAAATTAAAATAGCTTAAAAAAACAAACAA